GATGAAGTGGGGGAGATACACAGCTCGCACGGTTCCAGGTAGCGCCCAGATGTTGAAAAGAGGCCCAGCAGGTACCCACACATTCTGGTCAGCCTCTTTCAGATGCGTGCTCCAGGAGGCATATCTGTACACGATGCTGGCTGCTGACTCCACCTCGAAGGCAAGGCCCGTCTTAGAGCACTGGAAGATGCCTGGTCCAGGGAGACAAGCTCTGCAAGTGGGAGAGAAGGCAGGCTCACGCCATGTGTGATGAGGGCTTTTGGAAAGTGTTCCCACTTCTCCTAGGAGCTCTTACTTGTATACGTTCTGTTCCTCCAAAATGTATGGATCTATCTCCGGCCTCACTTCTTGAAATTCCTGCAACAAAAGAGCAACCGATTTGGAGCTGAATGGGGTGTTGTGCATTGGATGCTGCTTGTAGGAGGCGTGCTGAGAGCTGCAGTGAAGCACAATGCATGCTGGCACAGGAAGGTGGTCTGAACAGTTATGCACGCTGGCATGGGCACCACTTAGTGCATGTGTCCCTGATACATCAGCAGGAAAGATAATGGTCAAACGTGCAGAGCAATACCTGCAGCCCCATTCTAGAAGTTTCACGCACTGATTTTGGGGATTTATTTTGAGCATGGAAATTCTACATAGTAAAGTTTATGTTTCCTGGGAGAGAAATTATTGGCTGCTGACTTGCTTCAGCAAAGAGAAAACAGTGGACACAGACAGATGAAAGGTTTAGGGGAAATGTTTAGATGAAATTTAGGATGTAAGTGTGTGGAAAAGAGCCTTTCCACTAATGTAAAACAGATCAATGCATGCTGAGTTAGTGCAGCAAGGATAATGGACTCTTCTGGAGTGCAAAGAATTGCTGTGAACAACAGGTCCTGAAGGTACAGGTGGGAGCTGAGGTCTGCCTGCTGTGTCCTGTGACGACCAGTAAGGCCAGTGCAGAGCAGAGCTGTAGGCAAGGACCCTTACCTGCCTCACACAGAGACAGCTTCTCTCCTCTGCTGGGACATCTGACTGTGGCCATTTCTGGATTCCCTGGAAAAGAGGAACACAGGAAGAGCACTCCCAAGCCATATTTTTCCACTGAGATGTGCTTGCTTGCCAGGGGCATAGAATCATAGAATCATATAATTGCTGAGGTTGGAAAAGATCTCAAAGATCATCAAGTCCAACTGCAACCGAACCGTACTACCCTAACTCTAACAACCCTCTGCTTAATTATGTCCCCGAGCACCACATCCAAATGTTTTTTAAACTCATTCAGGAATGGTGACTCAACCACCTCCCTCAGGAGCCTATTCCAGCGCATAACAACACTTTCTGTAAAGAAGTTTTTCCTGATATGCAACCTAAACTTCCCCTGGTACAACATGAGGCCATTTCCCCTCGTCCTGTCACTTGTCACCAGTGAGAAGAGACCAACCCTTGCTTTAATCACCTTTCAGATATTGGAAGAGTCTCCCCTCAGCCTCCTCTTCCTGAGACTGAACAGCCCCATTTTCTTCAGTCTCTCCTTATAGGACATGTTCTCAAAGCCCTTCACAAGCCTTACTGCCCTTTTTTGGACCTGCTCAATGTCCTTTTTGTATTGAGGTGCCCAAAACTGAACACAGTACTAGAAGTGAGGCCTCACCAATGCCAAGTGCAGGGGCAGGATTACTTCCCTAGTCCTGCTCACCACATCATTCTTGATCCAAGCCAGGATGTCACTGGCCTTATTGGCCACCTGAGCACAGTGCTGACTTATATTCAGCCAACTGTCCATCAGTACACCAAGGTCCCTTTCTGTCAGGCAGCTTTCCAGCCACTCCTCCCCAAGCCTGTAGGGTTGCCTGGGGTTATTGTGACCAAAATGCAGGACCCAACACTTGGCCCTATTGAAACTCATACAGTTTACTTTGGCCCATCAATCAAGTCTATCCAGATCCCTCTGTACTGCCTTTCTCCCCTCTGGCAGATCAGCACTCCCTCCCAACTTACTGAGGGTGTACTCAATCCCCTCATCAAGATCGTTAATAAAGATGTTAAATAGAAGCAGCGCCAGTACCAAGCCCTGGGGGACACTGCTTGTGACTGGCCACCAACTGGATTTAAGTCCATTGACCACAACTCTTTGGGCCCCGCCATCCAGCCAGAGTATACACCCATCCAAACTGTGAGCAGCCAGCTTCTCCATGAGAATGCTGTAGGGGACAGTGTCAAAGGCTTTACTGAAGTCCAGGTAGACCACATTGACAGCCTTACATTCATCCACTAAGCGGGTCAGCTTGTCATAGAATGAAATCAGGTTTGTCAAACTGGATCTACCATTAGTAAACCCATGCTGACTGGACCTGATCCCCTGGTTGACCTTTAACTGGTCCATAATGGCTCCCAAGATTATCCGTTCCATAACCTTCCCCAGCACCGAGGTGGGACTGATAGGTCTGAAACTGCCAGGATCATCTTTCTGGCCCTTTCTGAAAATGGATGTCACATTTGTTAGTCTCCAGTTTGCCGGGACATTTCCAGTTAGCCAGGACTACCAAAGGATGGAGAGTGGCTTGGCAACCACATCCACCAACTGCTTCAGCACTGTAGAGTGCAATCCATCTAGCCACATGGACTTGTAAGCATCCAGCTTTTGGAGCAGGTCCAAAACCATCTCATTGTGGATTATGTAGGGCCTACTCTGCTCCCCATCTCTATCTACCAGTGCAAGGAACTGTGTGCACAGGGAGTAACAAGTCTTACTATTAAAGACTGAGGCAAAGAAGGCATGAGGAGAGGCCTCCTGGATGCACCACAGGCCAGCCCAGCAGCAGCACAGATCCTGCGGAGATGGCTGTGGGTTCAAGGTGCCCAGCCCTACCTGGGGACCAGCCCTGTCACACTCCTCCCTCTGTCCCAGGCCTCAGGCGTCCCACCAGACCTTACCTCTGCACCTGTTGAGGTGATGCCTGACAGACTGGTCTTCATTTCTATAATCGAAGAGACACCTGCTGAACCACTCTGCATTTCTATCCTTGAAGCAATTCCAGGTAAACCACCCTGTTGTTGCACCTCTGGTTCTTGATCACTTGTGGCTGGAACAAGAAGATGGTCATTGTCTCTACAGCTCACTGCAATCACCTGAAAGGAGGATGCACTGAGGACAGTGTTGGTCTCTTTCCTTGGGTGACACGTGATAGGATGTGAGGTGGCACTGGGGAAGTTCAGGCTGGATGTCAGGAAGAATTTGTTCCCAGAATGGGTGGCCAGGCATTGGGACAGGCTGCCCAGGGAGGTGGTGGAGTCACAGTCTGTAGAGGTATTTAAAGGATGTGTGGCTGTGGTACCAAGGGACAAAGTTTAAAGGTGGATTGGTAGTGTTAGGTGGATGGTTGGACTTGATCAAATGGGTCTTTTCCAACCCAATTGCAGCCATCCTACCTTCACCCAGTCTTCCCTATCCCATTGGCTGCACAGTCCCTTGGTGCACCACCGCATGCTCCCAGATTTACCACAGCTTCCGTGCATGAAGTGGACACTCACTCGCCACCCATGCAGATCCCCTCCCATCACAAGAGTGCCAGTGAGGACTGTGATCTTACCTGAGACATCTTCCTTGCCCTTTAAGGGAGCTGAACCACCGCCTCGCACTGCAACAGCAACACAAAGCAGAGGAGAGCTCAGGAGCCCGATCACATCAGGGGAAACATTGCCCTACATCCATTTTCCTTTCTGCCCTCTCCTCCCAGTTCTTCCCTCCCAAGGCACAGGGCTCCATGCCTGATGGTCCTCTTGCCCCTTCCCCTTGGCAGCCAGAGGCCAGCCTGCTCCCATAAAGCTCCTCACCTCTGGCCTGGTACTTACACCTAAGAACGTGGTGTACAATGCTGTTGGAGGTGATGTTGTAATGTCTGAGAGTTAGTTCGTCATTCAACTGCCAGCCATCATGAATCAGTCGTGCCTGAGAAGGGTAGAAATAGCTATCCAGTGCAAATAGCTTCGTCTTTAGGTCCAGCACCGTGTCGTCCAAAGAGACTGGCACAGAAACAATATTTCCTAACAAAGACTTCACAAGGATGGAGACTGTGGAGCTCAGCGTGGTCTCTGCCATCTTTGCTTTGCCTCTTTCAGCTACCTGAATCACGGCGATGTCTGTGTGTGAGGGAACACAACAGTGTCGGAGCCACAGACGGTCATCCAGGAACAGGCAGCTGCCCACAGTACTTCCTCCTTTGTCACATCCCTAGAAAGCGAAAGTACGGAGAGATTTCAGAGAAAAAATGCTTGTCATCACTCCCTCCTCTGGCCTCTGAGTGTCAGGGCAGGGAGGTGGGGAGCCAGGGGATGCAGAGGAACAATGAAGCAGGGAGGCAACGCTTCTTCCCGAGGGCATGGCTTGCATTAGAACTGGGGGCTGCAGGCAGAGCAGTGCCACAGGGCTTGTCCCCTCCTACTGAGCAGAGAGCATCTCACCTTCAAAAAGGGCTCAGTCGCATCAAGGAGAGCTGTCCCATGCCCGGCAGCCAGTCAGGAGATGGGCCTCCCCTTCTTGAGCGTTTCCATTGGGGGTGGAAATTCAGGCCAGGACCATGAGACGTGTAAGTAATGCCCCACGAGAGGGCAGTCGACATCCTACACAATATCAAGGTTGTGTAATCAGTGTGAAAGGCAGTGGTAACCCAGCACAATCTGCATCGAGGGGAGAAAAAACTTTTCTCTGCACTCAAGGTGGTCTCAAAAATCACAGCATGAA